CCCCAAAACCCCAAAACCCCTTATTTCCAAATTCTTAATGAGAGAGTGAGTTAAGATTAATAGATTTATTTGACTATATTAAATTAAATCTAATGACATATTTTTATTTTATTTTATAAATTATTGAAAATTATCACTTTAATAAGTAATAATTACTTTGATTATTTTTGACTTATTAGTTAATTCAATAAAAAATCCGCTTTAAATTACATAAGACTAAAGTTTAGCTATTTAATGGAATCTAGATTCTTAAAATTAGATGTTTTGGGAAGTGGAGCTTTCGGGACTGTTTACAAAGTCCAAAGAAACTCTGATAAGCTATATTTTGCAATGAAACAATTTAATGACCCTGATATTGAGCAAATTATTCAAGAAATTAAAGCCCTTTAGGAGATGGATTTCAAGAACATCATAAGATATTATGACTCTAGCTTGGATCCTCCTTGCATTGTAATGGAGTACTGCTAAAAAGGAAGCTTAGACAAGATGATTAAGGATGCTAAATAAATGAATAAGCAAATACCTGAGGAGGAAGTTTTAAGAATTGTAAAATAAATCCTTAAAGGACTTAAAAACTGCCATAAAAACAAATTGGTACACAGGGATCTAAAGCCAGCAAATATTTTAATCAATCAGAATGATGTTGTTAAGATTGGTGACTTTGGTCTTGCTAAATTTATGTAGTAGACTCATCTTAGTAGCCAAGTAGGGACTATTCTTTATATGAGTCCAGAGATTATAGAGGGAAAGCAGTATGATGGTTGAGCAGATGTATGGGCAGTTGGATGTATTTTATATGAGCTAATTGAACTCTAATAGCCATTTGCAAATTCAAAGAGTGTAATTGAAATATACTAGAATATAGTTGCAGCTAAGTATCCGATACCTTTAAAATGTAGTTTAAAAACAGCAAACCTTATCAAATTATTATTAGAGCCAGATAAATAAAAATGATTGACTGCAGAAAATGCTTTGAAATTGCTCAAAAGTGATGATAAAGGCATAAATATAAATGAAGATAATAAAAAACTTTAGTTTGATTCTCCTGGAGCAAGATTAAATAAAACGCAGTAAAACTTTAAAATTCGAGCCATAAAGCCTCCTGCTAAGATGCAAAATTTTATTTAAAATCAATAAGTGGCGGAAGAAATCTTTGATATCAAATTTTAAGGTCAAACTGGCTACACAATTCTTGCCTAAGAGAATAAAGTTGAGTTAAGAGCAGAAAAAATAATAAGTAATTATAATGGTAAAACTGGTTCAATCAAAATTGAGCTTTGTGCTGTACCCGTTTAATTTCTTAAATCCGATGATTGGTACAAAAAAGCATTTGGATATGTAATAGGAAGATATTAAATTGATGAAGGCTTAAATTATGGATATAGCTACACTAATATAAAATATAAAGTTGATTATATAAAATCTGGATAATTTGGAAGTTATCATAGATTCATTCTTAAGCTTTACACCTATTGCGATAATTTTTGGTTAGAGACTGATGCTATTCTTTGTGAAGGCTAATATATTTTATATAAAGAAACCATAGAGATTACTGGTTGTGATTATTCATTTTTAAAGTCTAATCTCAAAACAACAATATAGCTGAAAATATCAGAAATATAGAATAATCATAGTTATTAAACTGGGACAGTCAGAGTTCAACTTGCTGTTTGCCATTTTAATCCTACCTTTTCGCATAGAGACTATGAGAATGCACCTTATTATATTATTGCTTAAGGTATACTCGGCTAATTAAAAGCATAATTCAAATATAATGATATAATTAGAAATTTAGATGCTTTTCGTCCAGGACCTCCAGGCTAATATGTCGCAATATTGAAGATCCAATAATATATGAATAATGATTATGTAACAGAAAATCAAGTTCATTTTGATCGTTATCTTTTTTACTGACTGAGTATAGTTAGTAAAGTATATTCCACTTAAAAAAATTATGGATTTATTTTGATTTTGATGTAACCGCAAAATACTGATATGATTATAGAAATTTATCAATAATTGTTAATTTCTTAATTAATTTATTATACTTAAGTATGTTTTGTTTTTATTTAGCACATATGGGGTTTTGGGGTTTTGGGGTTTTGGGGTTTTGGGG